ATTTTTCCATTTGTATTCATTAAAAAGATTGGTGTATAGTTCATTTTTTGGTAAAATTCTTATCTTATTTTGGAATTAGAGTAATGACAGCTTACAGGAATGACTTTGAGGATACACTTTCTCTTTCAATTTCATTAAAGAACTTGAGGTATATCGGTTTAGAACTTTCCTGAAGTTTTTGTAGAATTCAGCAGTAAATACATCTTAACATGGGCTTTTCTTAGTAAATTATTTATTACTGCTTCAATTTTAATTTGCCTGTTATTGGATTACTTCCAATAGTTTTTAAATCTTCTTGGTTCAATTTTGATAATCCATATTTATCTAGGAATCCACCTATTCTGAATTCTCCAATTTATTAACTTATAGGTTTGCAAAGTAGTTTTTAATGATGTTTTTTATTTCAGTAGTGTCTGTAATGACTTTTTTCATTTCTAATTGCATTGATTTTGGATTCTCTCTGTCTCTCTGTCTCTCTGTCTCTGTCTCTCTCTCTCTCTCTCTCTCTCTCTCTCTCTGTTAGGCTGGTTAAAAGTTTGTCTTTTTTTCATTCTTTCAAAATACCAACTCTAATTTATTAATTCTTAGTATTGTTTTTGGTCTCAATTTCACTGATTTGTGCTCTGATCTTTATAGTTTCCTTCCTTTTACTAGCTGTGGGTTTGGAATGTTTTTGTTTTTCTAAAATCTTCAGGTGCATCATTAGGTTATTTATTTTGGCTTATCTGTTTTTCTGATGTGAGCATTCACAGCTATATACTTCCTCAGAGGACAGCTTTCATCATGTCCCATTAGTTCTGATATGTTGTTGTAGCACTGTCATTTAGTTTTAGAAACTGTCAATATGCATGGTATAATTTCATTTCTAACATTTATTTAAATTGATTTACTAGCGCGTATGTGGTCTGTTTTGGAGAAAGTCCCATGTGTTGCTGAAAAGAATGTGTATTCTGTTCTTGTTTGGTGATACTCTGCATATATTTGCTATGTACATTTGTTTGAAGGTTTTATTCAATTCTGATATTTCTTTGTTGACATTTTGTCTAGCTGATCTCTCTATCTGAGATAATGGGATACAGATCCCCCACTATAATTGTGCTCATGTTTATCTGAGCTGATATGTCCAGCAGCATGTGTGTTATAAGGTTGGATTGCTGTTGTTCAGTGCATGTTAATAATTATTCTCTTCTTGTTGCATTGTTCCTTAACCAGTATGTATTGATCTTCTTTGTGACTTCTGATTAGTTTTGGCTTGAAATCTACTTTGTCTGAATATAGGATAGTTACTTCTGCTTTGGGGGCATCCTGTTGCATGGTATCTTGTTTTCCATCATTTGATTTTTAGTCTGAGTTTCTTTTGGGGATTAGGTGGTTTTCTTGTATACAACATAACATTAGATTTTGTTTCTTGATTCATTCTTCCAGTCTATGAGTTTTCATTGGAGAATTGAGACCATTCACTCCCAAACGTGCCCTGTGATCCTTTCGGTCTTACTGGCCCCACCCCAGCACGGTGGTGTGGAATGGGCAGCCTCCTTTTTGAAAGGTCCAGCTGCACTGCAGAGCACGAGGTCCCGGCCCAGCGCTGGGTGCGCGGCACTCACCAGTTAGTCCGTCTCCTCCCTTCCCTCTCCCTTTTTCTGTTGTCCCTTTTATCTCTGTTTTCTCTTTAATCTTCCCATCTTCTCTGTACAGTAATATTCAAAATCATTTGAACCCACAGACCTTAGATTTCCTCAGGGAAATTTTAGCCTTGCTCTCTTCTAGAGGTTCCTCGTCCACATTTTAGAGTTTCACTTCTCCCATGGTTAATGCTCCATCTTTCATCATGCCAACATGCCCGAGGCTGCCTGCACACACTCTGATCTACTTCTTGCATCGCTGTGGCATGGACTGCGGGCCTCTGTTCCCCCCTGGACCTGTGTCAGTGTATAGGAAGAACCACCTGTAAGATTCTGTTCTTAGACCTCCAGGATTTGGGCGATGATGTATTGTGGACAGGTTCTTTTCTGATCATGATTGTTTGGGATTCTATATGGCTCATTTATGCATTAAATTCTTTTACCTTATTTGAAAAATTTTCTCCTGTTATTTCAGTATACAGCCTTTTTGTACCATTTCTTCTATCTTTTGATTTTTCACTATTTCCAATTAATCTTAGATTAGTCTTCTTTATGTCATCTAGGAGCTAATTTGATCCATTTTGACATGCTGTCTTGTTGTTTTCAAGGTATCACTCATTAATTTGTCATGACAACACCCTTATCTTTTAGTTCTGGTACTCTGTCCTCACAGTGATCACTTTTCCTGCCCATACTTTTCACAAAAATTTTATTCTCCTGAATTTCTATTTGGAGCCCTTTTATGGGCTCTAACCCTTTTCTATGCAGCTCCTGCATGTTTTACATAAATTTGTTTACCTCTTCTATCTTTCAGTTAGTGTTTTCTGTAGACTACTGAAAGTTCTGTGTATTTGGCCCAATATCTTTATTACTTATATCTTCTATGAGTTTGATAAATGCCTTACTGATCTGTTTTGTTATCTCCCCTGATATCATTTCACATAATTAAGGTGTTGAGCTTTTGGTTCTCTCCCATTCAGTGCCTCATGGTTCAGCTTTGGGGTAGTGAGTTTTGGGAGGCATTTCGTTGGCTTACCTTCTCATGCTTTTAGTGTTGATTTACTTGCTTATTTGTTTCTTTTGAAGGTTGTGGGTTGATTATAGTGGGAAACATTTTTTGAATCTGTAAACCTCTTTAGTTAATGTCTACTTTTCAGTCGTGTCTTCTAGCTGTGGCTTTGCCAGTGTCCCAGGATCCAAACACCTCAGTTTGCTTGAGAAGGAATGTTGTAGTGTATTTGGGCCAGTTCTCATTTTTCCACAAATGGGGCACCATATTGTTATGATCCCATGGCTATGCAAATATTGTCATCTCAGGAAAACCAATTAATAGCAACATGCATGTTACCCTGACTATAATAATAAAATCAGCATCAATTACAGAATCAACTACAAAGTGAACAATAACAAAACCTAAGGGCCAATAAAGTACCACCCGTGTGCATAGATGACAGATCTATAATTATAGTATGAGCACGAAAACAAGCCAAATATTAACCTACTATTAACCTACAGTAAATATCTATTAAATAACTTTACCTCTACTAACAGTATCACAGTATTCAACAGCAATAGTGTAGCATTAACTACCTATCGACCTATTTAAATTCATAAAGTTTAGTAGTTACTACTAAAGGTGGAGGGAGGTGGGGAACTAGAAAATGAAAAGAGCAAAATTAGAACAACTAATCCATGGAATATTAGGAGTAGAATAAGTAAGACAGGGGGTCTCATTGAAGAGTAAAAAGAAGTTAATAGTGATCGAGAACAGTCACTGCAAGAAATAAACAAGAAAAAATATAAACAGCAGAAACAAGAGATAAAAAAAAAGAAGGAAGAGGAAAAGGCTGGAAGAGAAAAAGAGAGAAAAGAAACTCAAAGAGGAGGAAAAATACCCCAAACCTCCAAAAAAAAATGATGAAGGAAAGATAAACAGAATACAAAATAGAAAAATCAAAAAAGCCCGAGTGCATGAAAAAATTCCCATGTTGTTAAACAAGTGCTTTCTTTCCAACATCCACAATCCTGGGATCTAGCCAGTTGTGATCCAGCCAGTCATGATTTTCTTCTTATAGATTTAGGGCCTTTGGGTTTTTGAGGTTCCCGCCTTGACCTAGAGGCCCCTCTCTCTGTTTGATTTCCCTCAGACCCTGGTTACCATCCAAACCAAGGTATGTCCTTTCTCCCATTGGTAAATGCGGAACATGATCAGCCCTCCAGTCTCTGCTGGATGTAGGCTGCAGGGCAGAAATTTGAGTGGGCTGTTGGATTTCATATTCTCAGTCAAGGGATCTGGTTACTCCCTTCTCACCCAGGGTTTTGTCCTAGGGCAGGATCAGGTCAGTTGCTTATTCTTTGCTTCTGCTCTGCAGGCCATGCTGCCCTGGGGGAGTGATGCTGTTCAACTAGCACAGATCTGCTTGTTCATGTTAAGGTGCATGCCTCTCCTCTGGCACCTGGCTTATAGTTTTCTTGTCATGTCTTTATCTGGCTTTGATATCAGGGTAATAGTGGCCAAGTCCAAATTTGAAATATTATTTACAACAAGAATTTACTATGTTCATCTTTCTATATACTGTATTACTTAGTAGTTAATTAATATAAGGCATGTAACCTAAATATTTTTCTAAATGAAATATATGTGTTTCATATTGTACAGATATGAATATGATAATTTCAAAACTACCAGGAGAAACACTTAAATTTTTATTTTTGTAAGAAAAATACTTAGCAGCCAGGTGTAGTGATGCATGCCTGTAATCCCAGCACTCAGGAGGCTGAGACAGGAAGATCACTGAGTTTGAAGCAGCCTGGGCTACATAAGAGAGTTCAAGGCCAGCCTGCACTACACAGCAAGAATTTGTTGAAACAAAGAAAGAAAGAAAGAAAGAGAGAGAGAGAGAGAGAGAGAGAGAGAGAGAGAGAGAGAGAGAGAGAGAAACAAAGAAACAAAGAAACAAAGAAACAAAGAAAAGAGAGAAGAGGGGATGGGAATTTAGCTCAGTGGCGCAGTGCCTGCCCAGCAAGTGCAAGGTTGTGAGTTCAATTCCTGGTACTGGAAAAAAAAAAAAAGAAAGAAGAAAGAAAAGAAAGAAAGGAAATAAAGAAGGAAGAAAGAAAAGGAACTTAACCTGGGCTGGGGGATGTAAATAGTGCTTGCCTAGCAGGCAAGAGGCCCTAGTTTCAATCTCCAGCACTGCAAAGGGAAGAAGAAGGAAAAGAGAAAAAGAAACTAAGTTGTTATTTGTTTTACTTTTACCTGTTTGCATTATTATTTAAGTGATTATAAATTCGAACTTTTTGTTTGTTGTACAATTAGTGTATGAAATCACTACTTTGTGCCCTTGTCATTCTTGTCACCATTTGTCTTTTTTCTAGGAGAGCAGATAGATGTCAGTGACCTAGACAAGGCTCTGAAAGACATGAAACTTGAGTTCACAGAAAGACAATATTCACAGCTAGTGAAAATTCTACCACTGGATGGCAAGTATTTTAAATGTATACATATTCTTCAAAAGGCTTTAGAGTACTTGATTGTGAGCTTCTCTTCTAAAATGGTACTAATTATTACCAGTCATTTATATCATGTTTTAAAACTTTTAGAATTACCAGAATTTTGCCAAAGAAAATCCAGGTCATTTATTTCTTGTTATAGTAAGCAATAACTGTTTCACTCATTTCTGCTAGTAGCGTATTGATGTGCTTGCTTGCATTAGCATGCCTGAGAATACAGAAAGGATAAAAGAAAGAAATACTAAAGAATATAAGGCAAAGGTTAAAATAAATCCAATAGGATATGTGTTTCAAAAATATAAGCCAATACCAGAGAAACAATACGATATCTACACATGTGGATCCCATTTATTACACTTAAGAATATGTTCTCAAGGTGCATCCATTTACCTAGAAATGTCTCGTTTATTTTTCTTTATGGCTGATTAGTACTCCATTGTATTAAAAGAAAAAAACCCACATCTTCTTTATCCATTCCTCAGTTGATGGGCATTTGGGTTGTCTCCAAGACTTAACTATTACAAACTATGCTGCTATAAACATGGGTATGCATACATTGCCATGCTATGATGCTTTTTAATTCTTTTGGGAAGATACCCAGAAGGGGAATGGCTGTATCAAATGGGATATCTAATCCTGGTTTTTTGAGGAATCTCCATACTGATTTACACAGTGGTTGCACCAGTCTACACTTCTACCAACAATGAAGAAGCATTCCTTTTCCTCACAACTCCTCTAGCATTTGTTATTGGTTGATTTCTTGATAATAGCCATTCTAGTCTATGGCCATACCACCCTGAACACGCCCGATCTCGTCTGATAATAGCCATTCTTTCTGGGGTGAGATGGAATATCAGCCCTGTCATAATTTTCATCTCTCACATGACCAGTGATGTTGAATATGTAAATAAGGAGCAAAGTGTATGAAAGGTATCGTGAAATAATTGTTCAAAAGAAAGAGGAACAAGAGGAGGCAAGGAGGAGAAAAAAGAGAGTCCATACTCTGAAATAAAAGGACATACATGTTTAAGTATCCCATTGTTTCTCTAATAGGAGAAATTGAAAGGGTAAATAAGGACCAAAATGTAAAACAGATACTGGGAAATAGGAAGAAGATGTTCAAATGGGAAGAGGAACAAGGGATGCAGGAGGGGGAAAGGAAGGAAGGAAAAGGAAAAAAGAATAGTAGGAAGAAAATGCAAACAAAGCTTTTATAAATAAGCACAGGAAGAGGAGTTGAAGGGAGGAGAGGGGTTGGGAAAAAAAATCAATAAATGTCGTGTATAGATTCGAACTTACTCTAGTATATATCTAAAATGTACCAATAAAATTAATAAGAAATTGTGAGCCAATAATCATTGTCTGTTGTGCAAGAGTGAACAGACTTGTCTCATTAAAGAATTTCTCCAAGCTAACTTTATTACTAAAAAGAAATTAGATAAGCTTCAGAGAAAATCATAAATAAATCTATCTTTTTGAAACTAGAGGACTGGGAGAATTTTAGAAGGCTGATGGTCTAAGCACATCTTTATTATTGTTCTCTAACCCCAATTATGTCTGTTTTTTAACAGCTCAAGGAAAGGTGTTTAAAAAAAGGTTGCTGGATGGTATAAAAACTGTTAAAGGTGAGTGCAAATTAGGATGAGAAACCAGATAAATATGTGGTTCTTTTTATTTTTATGATATTATTTTTATTAAATTGAAAATCTCATATGTAGTTTCCCAATATTAATGGATGTTAGGTATATAATGCCATAGTTCCCTGAAAATTACCCAGCTCCTTTTACAATTTTAAGTACAGTCAGAAAAAGAGATTGTACCCCTAGTTTTAACACTGATTTTCCCTTTACCCAGGAAGACCTGGTGTTCATGATTAAAGTGGTAACAAATGTTAACATTAATTAATAATTTTATTGCCTTTTAAAAGTGATTTTTTATTCTAAGGAGGAAAAGTTGATGTGAATAACCTGAATACTTTTCTGGAAAATATGGAGATTCAGCTTTCAGATGAAGAATTTGAAGATTTTTCACAAAACCTACCAGTTGATGGTGAGCATTATAGATAAATGTATTCCCCTGAGGACAGCTCTATTCAACAGCATCCATAGACTAAGGATAGTGCCTGTACGAGATCAGTAGAACATTTCTACCCACCACTCCAATAAAAGGCGACAGGTCCAGATAGTTTTAAAAGTAAATTCTTTCAAATCTTCAAATCTGTTTGTTTCAATGCTATCTAACTTGGTCCAGAGAACTCCAACTTAGGACAAAACAAAACAAAAACCAAAGCAAAACCCATTAACTTTTCTTCCCTTCTGATACATAACAAGGTGGAAAAACAATAATAAAAGAATAAAAATTCAACAAAGAAAATTCAACACCAACCAAATAATAAAAACAGACCACCATAATGCTATAAATGCTTTTTAAAAGATAAGCAATGAAATAAAAAATTAGAGAGTAGAAGCAGCAGTACAACCAAGACAAATTGTTCATCCCTCAGAAACTAAATTGATAAGCTTTGAAATACAGAGAATTCTAGCTAAAATGCCCAGATCTGGGGCAAAGCAGTTTGAATAGGTAATTTTTCCTCTGTCTATTCACCTACTAGGAAGAGAAATGACTGCTGGAGAAAAACTGATAAAAGAAAAGAAATTAATAATAGATACCATTGATTAATGGAAATAAAAGCTTGAATGTTATAGGCAGAATTGGGGGGTCATATGTGAAGACCCAGAGTATCATCTCTTGAACAGATCTGGGGTTTACTTAAATGTTCTTACCAGCATTTATTCCACTTAATTGGAGGTATAAAAATAAACTCTATTGAACCATTAAATCCAACCTTAGGATAACAGGCTTAAGGTATTATATCAAAGATCACACACCTTACTACTTCCTTAGATTACAGTGAAAATGAGTAGAATAATTTTTTTCAAGCACTTCTCGCCAAGAAAAGCAAACTGGTTTCAGATATCATAGAAAGGACAATTAAAAATTACACTAACTCTTAGGAGTAAAATGAAGACAAGGACAGCACTGTTAAAGCATAGCAAGATGGAAAGAAAGGACATGACAACAATTCTAGCACTAACACATCCAAGAAAAACAGAAAAAGGAAACAGAGAAGGAAGAAATATAAGATGGAAGGAAGATAACATGCAAAAGACAAACACACCCTTCTAATAGAAAACCCAAGGAACAACCAAAATATTTTTTTCATAATTATTTCACATTACAGAACAACTTCAATAGATTCAATAAAATTAGAGTTCAAAAATAAGATGGTAACATAACATGAGATTAAAAAGAAAATTGCATATTTGGCAAAATTAATACTAAAATTATATTCATTAAATAAATTAGAAACATCAAAGTAAAAAAAATATGGCTGAAATCATATTTCTGAAAGTGAGAATAATAAATCACCATAAGTGCAAAAGAAAAGACAGGGTAATCAAAAAAGCTATCCTTCAGAAATGATAGAGATAGTCCTCCTCAGACAAGTGATAACTGATCACTACATCAGCTTTACAATAAATCCTTTCATGATAAAAAAAAAACTCAACAATTTAGTGTGAAAGTAGACCTTCTAGTGAACCAGAACCTAGTAACCTCCTGGAGAACCAGAAAAAAGTTGGAAGCATTCTCTTTAAGAACTAAAACAAGGGGGCTGGGGATTTAGCTCAGTGGCACAGCACCTGCCTGGCAAGCGCACGGTTGTGAGTTCAATTCCCGGTACTGGAAAAAAAACAAAAACAAAAGCAAACAAAAAAAAAGAACTAAAACTAGACAAAAATGCTAACGTTTATAAATTTTATTCAACACTGTGTGGAAATTTTAGCCAGAGCAATTTAGCAAGAGAAAAAAATTAAAGACATGCAAATTTAAAGAAGACTACAAACTATTACTGTTTGCAGAGAAGATAATTTCATATGTAGAAAAGCCTAAAGACTCCACCAAGAAAGAGTTTGAACTAATAAATTCAGTAAAATTGGCAGGTTAAAAGATTAATACAGAAATCAGTAACATTTTCATATACAGTATCAAGCCATCTAAAAAATAAATCAAGAACACAATCCCTTTCAGAGTAGTTTCAAGAAAATAAAATACCTGGTCATAAATGTAACAAAGGAAGTAAAAAACTCAACAATGAAAGTTATAAAACACTGATGAAAGAAACTGAAGATGACCTAACAAAATGGAAAGTCATTGCACTTTAACAGATTGAAAGAATTAATAATGTTAAAATGTCCCTACTACTTAAAGCAATTTACAAATATAATGCAATCCCTTTCAAATACCAATGGCATTTGGTACCACAAGACTCCAAACAGCCAAAGCAACCTTCAGACAAAAAAACTAAAACCAGCAAAACATATGACTTGAAAGCATATGACAAAACTATAGTAACTAAAACAATATGGTACTGGCAAAAAAAGCATAGAAAATGGAAATAAATAAAAAACCACAAATAAATCCACACATTTACAGCCAACTGATTTTTCACAAAGACATGAAAAAATAAATGTTGGAGAAAAGGAAGTCCTTTTGATAAATGGTGCTCTGAAAAATTTAATATCCATATGCAAAAAATGAAACCACATACCCATATATCACTATATACAAAATCAAAGACTATATAAAAATCAAAGACTTAAATATGAGACAAAGAAATATGAAACTT